AGCAAGAGCCAGAATTGGGGCAAATGTTGCCAAATGAGAAAATTGTGCGATAGTTGTTTTTCTGCATCTTGTTTATTTGGTCCTGTTGGATAGTTTGACCAATTTATTTGGTCCCTTCTGGGTCGAATCAATAGAAATAAACCTCATAGATAATGTTCTTCTAATGATAATCAGTTGAAAGGTGGAGATTACCCAGAAAAATGATTTCAAAGCTGGTTTTATGCAAAAAGAAATTTGTTTGCCCAAAATAAAATAGATAACTTTAGGTTGCAAAAAAAAAAAACATTTTTCTATCGATTCCGCAATATCTTAGGGTGCCAGGGCCTTTCGATGCACGCACATCCTACAATATCTGAACTTGAGCACACCTAATGACATAACGATGCACTTCTTGGCAGGGCCGTACCCAAAAATTTTTTTCGGGAGGGGGGGCACCTCTATTATTTCAGGGAGGGCACCCCCTTAAAACACTGAATAGCAATTTTCCGCTCTCTATGCCATGGTGAAAAAAATTTCGGGAGGGGAGGGGGGCACAGGCTCGGTGTGCCACCCCTAGCTGTGCCACTGCTTCTTGGTCATATTTATTCCCATGAAAGATCAAGTGAAACAAAATTCTATAAGTATTTTATTTTGCTTTGCTGTCAGAAAGCTTTCACGAGAAAAAAAAATAACAAAAATGGTAAGTGGCTTGAAATATACGCCTATATTTCAGGAATCTGTTGCTGCAGATAGGCTAAACTGAGAACAATAAAACTCGGTACATATTGACTTTGGTCTCTTTGCTTTCATAAAAAAACTTTATGCTTTTTGCAGTGATTGTTAAGCTGCAAAATTGTGCTGAAATGTATATGGTTTACAGATTGTCACTATTTGTTTTTCAGCGTAAGCAGTGCTGCCCTGCTTACAAGTGACAGTCGTAAACAAACCGGGACAATATGACGAAAAACAGTCATCGTGAAAAAGCGAGACAATGTACATGTCGGAAAAGATGGCAGCTTGGGAAAGTTGGTAGTAGCTAGTTGATGACAATGTTTCACTAAGCATGCATTTATGATAATTTAGGAAAAATGAAAAACAAGAGTAAGTTGTATAGAAGAGAAGTGCATTGACTTACCAAGTGATTTTCATTAGGCAGGTAAAATACAGTGCGTCCGAAATATCAGGCAGCGCAATTCGGAAAAGAGGAATGTCGTTACATGAAGGGCTTTTAGGGTTTATCCTTTCCAGTGTGTAGCAGCAGTCATCACAAGTTTTTCATTAGAGAGGTGTAGTTGATTATTTCTAATTATGTTTTTAACTCTGAAAATACATATATTTATTAAAAAGTCAGTGAAGCATATGTAGGCATGTTCAAATGACATTTGGCTGCACTGTTTTCAACAGTGTACTAACTGCATACTCGCTTTTTTTGGCTAATGTAGAGAGCCCGTGAAATTTGAAAAACTTGGCTAGGCTTCTACACATGTTAATGTCTCTGTGTATGCTACCGCAGGTAAGGGGCATATCAGGACTGAGCAGAGATACCCGAAAAAGTGTTTCAGAATACAGCTATCGAAATACATCATTTGGAAGCTAAAAATACAGATACTGAGATACATTTGTAATTGACGTAACGGCTATTTCAGAGATACTTTTGCAAAAAGACGAAAAAAGTATTCCAGAATACAGATACAGCAATATGTACAAATACTGAAGTACTTCTTCCATGTCGGTCGGGGATAGTCATACTCCGTACAGACGTTTTTTATGTGCAGCCTAACATTTAAGATGCGCTGTGCATTGAAACTTGCAATTAATTTTATTAATTATTTTATCACCATACTTCCAGTGCTATTAAGGCAATACAAAGAAGGCTTACACCTGAAATTATTATTAATAATGACATATTTACAGATATCAGTTGCAATAAAAAACTATGCTGTATGAGAGCTAGAGTCACACGCATTGTATACCAAAATCGAGATACTTGGCGGCAACAGTATTCGCTATGCTAGAAGCGGGACAGTTCAAGCGAAGCGCTGGAATCATAAGCAGACGAATTGAGAAAAGGCATGCTTTTATTCACATTGGTCAGCATGTATTTCTGACTAAAAAAATTAAATAAGGCTCCTGAATTCCTTGCTGCCGCTGTAATGGTGACGCTTACTTCAACGACCTTCTACTAGTAGACTAGCGGTTCAGGCTAGCTGGTTTCCAGTTTTGCTAAAGTGGCCTAGCGTGAAGCAGGAGGAGAGCACATAAACAATGAAGACGAGCGCTTTCTTCCAGTTGAACGTTAAGTGTTTTCTAGAAACATAGAAAAAGAAGAAAGAACGAACAAAACAAAAAATGCAAAAGGAAATGCAAAAAAGACCTTCCAATCATCGTGTGACCACGCTGGCGTCTTCCAGAAATGCTTTGGAGAAAGAAGTATCGTTGATCGCACACGGCACCACACACCAAATTCTTTGGGTGGTTTACGGCTTCTGCGATTAGCTCCGGTTTTTCAAATGGGTGCCACAAAAAAAAAAAAGAGGAAAAAACGAGAGAAAAAAAAGCACTGCTCGTTCAATTGGCATGAAGGAACACATTTGAACAACTACGCTGTTGGTTGGTGCCCATTGTGCAGTTTACAATACTCCTCACAATGAAAATATCACTGATGGAATTCAGAATGGTAGTATAACACTGTTGGCGAGCTCAAGGAGGCGATCATTCAAACACAATCCAGTTCTGCCTGAAGGTGCACAATGGCATGCGGTTTGCAAAGCGGCTAGCTCGCTTTCAAGAAGGTAAGAGTCAGTTTCGCCCTCAGCAGAAATGTAGAAACGGTGGGTGCATATCTTGCCGCGGACTGCCAAGGCCACAGAAGAAAAAAAAATGTTGGCATTGCAAACACGTCTCAGCTCATTTTCGGAAAAAAATAATAACAAGATACCCTTGTCTTGTATAAACGAAATACCCGTGTCTTGTGATTGTATTTCATTACTAAGATACAAATACATTTTTTAAAAGTATTTTGATACAGCAATACAGATACTCAAAAGTATCTCTGAAATACTATCGCGATACTTTTGTATCACGATACTGCCCAAGCCTGGGGCATATACAGTAACTTTAGTGCACATCAGGAAGCAGGGCCCTCAAACAAGATCACTGTGAGGTAGCAAGCCAAGACTAGGCTCCCACTTTTTTGACAGTGGGAATGTAGTCGTGTGTTATTCGAGCATGCCTACATATGCCTCATTGATATTTTAGTAACAAGTTGAGTATTTGTCAAGTTAGACATATAATTACGACTAACTAAATAAACTTCACTAACAAAAGTTAGTAGTGGATACTATGAACAATATTAAGTGTGCTTCGTGTGACGACATTCTGTTTTAATATTGTGCTGCATGATATTTAGTGGGCTTGTGCAAATAGTGAGTTTTAGGTTTGAAGCGAATTCAAAGCGAATAGTGATTTTGGCCGAATAATTTTGAAGCGAATTCAAATATAATATAGGGCATATAAAGAAGAATGGGCATATTTAGCATTACCTAACTAACCTGTACAATGTTTTTTTAATTGAAATAAGGCCTCTATGCAAGTGCTCTTTTTTTTTCCATTTCAAAGGAAGTTGAAACAACTTTGAGAAATTGCAGGATTTGACTTTCAGTCGGATGCAACTGTTAACCTTTAAAATATGTAATAATATTCATTACAGTTAGAGTGTATAAGTCGGCAAAACAAGCTTTTCAGCTTAAAAAATTGTTCAATTGATTTGAGGATAATACGTTTATTTAAAGGGTTTTTCAACAGCTTTTCAAGTAGTTATAAAATGGATTCACTAAAGAAGCTTGTTGCCTCACGAAATAACTGCCAGAAAAATTCTTAGAATCTGTCCAGCATGAGTAAACGGAGTTTTGAGATTTGCCATATGCTGCGATTGATTTCTCTCTTCTTGTCCCGACGAAAGCGCTTGAAGCAAAGCCGGAATAAATGGCATAGGGAAAGAAAATATTTATTGTGCGTGTTATGGCCTTGAGCACTCTTTCTCTCTTTTTTCCTTTTAATACGCGGCATTTCAGTGCGATCGCGCATGTGCATGTGAACCAGTCGCGGCCACCCACGACGACCTCTCGAACGACTGTGCGCCCCATGCTCAAATCAGCCAATGGCTGGTACAATGCCTGCGACGGGTGATTTTTGACATTGTGGTGTCATTTTCCGAGAGAAGGGAGCGATTTTTATCTGACTTTGAAAATTTATTGTGAAATCCAGGTCACATTTTGTGCCATAATATTTGGCCGCGTGTTCTCGTAGCCTCGACTACCGACCGGCAGCGTATTCTCACCATGCTCAAAAAGTGTTGCAGAGCCCCTTTAAATTTGAAGAGGGGCTTCGCGGCAAAGCATATTTCCCCTGGATAAGTTTTTTCCTGGTTTAGCACAATCATATTGCAGTGAAAACACTTTTACAAGCGGATACATCGGGATTAATATACATATATTTGTTGATATCAAATACTTCGAAATATTCGATAATTAAATTTGAATCAAAGTAAATTCGAATACTCTACTATTCATTCGAATATTCAAAGTATTCGAATATTCGCACAAGCCTAACATTTAGGACAGTCGATATATGAGAGTAAAGAAAATGTGGCACAAGTTCATGTGCATCATTGACGTGAGAGCTGTTGTATAGAGACATTTTGGTTGACGTGAAAATGTTGAAGGAAAAATTTTTTCAAATGCTCCTCATAAATTTCTGATTGAAGTCCTGTGTATTCAAATAATGAACACAAAAATGATTTTATATGCTTAATTTTAAGTTGCACTCTGCTCTTCAACAAACTGTAATCTTTTAAGTTCATGAACAAATATACAGCATTTCAATAGCTCTTGATATTCACAAATAAGCACAAGTAATTTGTGCCAAAGCTTACGAAGTTTTGTGGGGTTATCCAGATTCTCGTACATTTTGTTTTACAGTTGACATGATTTTTTTCACATGTAATGCAAAACAATACTTACGCTTTGTAGTTCCTGCTTCAGGAGCAATATTGTGTGAGCTTGATCTTGAAAAAAATTTTTTGTAGACTCGATAAATGCCACACAGCAGGAAACTTAAAGCTATCATTGTGAAGCCATAAAGCCATGGGAAGAGTAGGGCTTGCTTTTGTTCCTGTAGAGAAGAAAAGTGTAGGAAGAAAAGTGTGAAAGCATTGTTGATTTATGGGGTCTTATATCTCGAAACCATGACATGCTTATGAGGCACGCCATAGTCAAGGGCTCTAGATTAATTTTGACCACCTGGGGCTCTTTAGCATGTAGCTAAACCTTAGTACACACGTGTGTTTGCATTCTGACCTCATCTAAATGCAACTAGCTTGGGCAAGTATTTAGGTATAATACCGGTTATTCGAAACTAAGTTTATAAGAACCTTCTAACTTTATATCCCTCTCTTCCACTCCTTTTTTTTTGTTTCCTTCCTTTTACTAGTAAAAAAAATTCTTTAGTGTGCAAAAGGTTTCAGAATGGTGTATGTACCTTTTTTTAACATTTTGTACACTAAAGTCAGTTTTGCCTCAAGACTGAAGCCTAGAATTCAATAGCTATAAAAAGCAGTGTTATACAGGGGAAGACTAGCAGCTAACTAGGGCTGAACAGAGATACCCACAAAAATATCCCGGAATACAGATATTGAAATACATGAGTTGGAGACCTGAAATACAGATGCTGAGGTACATTTTCTTTTGACATTTTGAAATATTTTGTAGATACTCTTGCAAAAAGACGAAATAAGTATTCTGAAATACAGATACAGCTATACAGATACCGGAATACTTTTATTTCGTGGATGCTAGTACTACATAAAGACATTTCTTAACTCCAGCTAAATGTTGTAAGTAAAGTTGTGGCGCATTGAAACTTGCAATTTATTTATTCATTTATACAGAACACTCAGTACCATTAAGAGATTACTGAGGGAATAAGGGGACTACAAAGTATATAAATTGGTAGTAATGACGGTATTACAGGTTTTAATTGGATTAAAGAAGTACGCTATTTTATAGCAAAAGTAACAAGCATTCAAAAACGAAATCGACATACTTGCTGAAAACAAAATAGCTATTCTAGAAATAGGATAGTTCAAGCAATTCACTTGAATCACTAAAGAACACCACTTAATTGAGGAAAGGGGTACATTTATTTTGAACATATGATCTGTTTTGCTGAGAAGGCGCTGCTATGTTGCACTTAACCAATGGGAGCTTCTAAAAAAAGCTGTCTTCTAGGTCATGTCAATTCGGCCTCAGCACAAGACTCATGGAAGAAAATGGTCTCAAAAAGAAAAAAAAAACTCGTGTTATAGTGAATAAATACTGCCTTCATAGCCGGATAGTCTTGCAATGTGGCGGTATGTCTTCTCGGGTCTCCTAAGTACCAAAATATTCTTGCTCATGCATTGGTCTATTCTGACCACTGAGGAGTAGAAACTGGTCCCTTTTTCAGAATCCTCAGCTATCTGGCCAGGTCGGTGCTGCACCAGATGGCTGGAGAATAACTACTAAGTACGAAAATACTTCCATGCTCACATCAGTCCGTTCTGACCATTGAGAAGCGGAAGTTGGTTCTCATCTGCCAGAATCCTCAGCTGTCTGGCCAGATTGGCACCACACCAAATGGCTTGGAAATCCCTTGCCCATAGTTGGCTGGCTATAATTATACCTACACGCAACGGAGCCCAGTATGCCAAGACTGCACAATTAAAACACTGGCTTTCTAAAATCATGTTCTTCAGAGGTGAGAGAATTTAAGTGCTCCAATATAGTTCTTCCTGCCAGGTCTCTAGACAGACGTTGAAACAGAGACAGCTGCTCAGAGCACGCAATCAAAGACTACAGCAAGCACTAAGCATCTGGGCCGAAAGAGTTTTTTCTGTCACCACCATTGCCTCTGCCAGCACCCATTTGAGCAAGCCTCTACAGGTGAATTCAACACCATGAGGCGCTGCGGCACGCCAAGCAAACTGTCATCAGAGCTAGCGGTGTGCGCCTGTCTTCTACTGGCTTTCCTCCCTCGTTGGCATATAGCTGGGAAAAAGGAGGCCGATGCCACTGCAAAGGCAGCTCAACCAGTCACCAAGGCGGTAGCCATGTCTGACTACTTCTGACAACACCTGCGCGGCTGCTGCCAACAGCTCACCCTGACAAGCAGGTGGCAAGCGGTAATACACTGGCGCCCCTACCGGACACTGGCCTGGAGAGACACGAGTGGTGGCTGCTGGTTCATCTGCCAACTGACAGCGCCTGGCCTGCAGCATGCATGCACTCCACGAGTCGCTCTTCATCCCCTGCGTGCCGCAGATGTGGTGCACCCTGCGTGCCACAGATGTGGTGCAGAAGAAACACTAAAGCACTTCCTTTGTTGCTGCGCTGCTCTAGCTGGCGAATGATGCAAGATGGTGCGCCACTACTGACTGCTCAGTCTCCCTGTGACAACTGTGGAGTATTTCCTCTTTCTCAGCCGTGTGAGCCTTTCTCAAGCCTCCTCCCTTCTCTTTTTTTTCTATCATCTTCACCTGCTGAATTTGATATTCACCATGAAATTGGAACCATTCGTGACTCCATTAGCTTCATAAATGAAGGTTTTGGACAGTTTAAGAAGGATGTCGAGGTTTTTTGTCGCGAACTCGCTGCGGTCGCGGCTGAGAGTCAACGATGTAAACAAGAAAATGAGCAACTAAAAAGTGAGCTGAAAGAAGTAAGGAGAGAAATGACAGAGATGAAACAGTACAGTCGAAACATGAACCTGGAAGTGAAGGGGCTGCCTTTGGTCGCTAATGAAGATTTGAAAAAAAGTGTGGGACAGATCGCCATGTGCCTGAATACAGGTATAACTGAAAATGACATTGATGTTGCACATCGTGTTCCTACTAAGGATAAGAACAAACCAAATGTCATCATAAAGTTCACGACTCGGTCTGCATGAGACAGATTTCTTTCTGCAGCGCGACACTGCCCCCCTGGGCTTTGAGATGAACAGTCCTATTTATATTAATGAACCCCCGTGCGTTGAGAATAAGCGGCTGTTGGGCAAAACTCGGCAACTGAGGCGTGAAAAAGAATGGAAGTTTCTTTGGGTGGCACAGGGGAAGGTTCTCATGTGCAAATCCGAGCAATCGCCTGTTCTACATATTGCCTGTAATGCTGACCTGGACAGAGTTACATAAGTGTCCTGTATTCCTGATTGGATTCACTCTCCTTGTGTTAATGAGGAAATGGAGCTTAGGCATATAAATTTTTTGGGCTTACTCTTGGTTTCTGTAACATGCCACTGCACAATTACAAGCATGTTTATTCGACATGCTAATTATATTTGCCGATACTTTGCAGATTTCTGCTTATCTTTGATTCTTGATTTACGTGTGCTACAGTTTGCCTGACTAAACAAAGCTCGAGTACTATTAACTACGCTAGGCTTTTTCAACAGTACCGTTTACTTACGTCTTACAGCTTGCACTGCACCATTCTTAAGTTCATGTATTTATCCCTGTGATAAGGGTGTTGTTGTGAGCACTAGCCTTAAAGTGCTCTGCTTTGAAACGTCTTCAGAAATTGTTTTTTGTGCATATGTTATTGACCTTATGTTCCTGCCCCTTTTCTTTACAAGTTTGCCTCTAAAATGGCTGTCAAGTGTACTAGCCCTAGTGAATTAACTGCAATTATGGCAGATAGGAGTGTATCGACTTTAAGTTTTCTACATTTGAATATTCAGTCAGTGCTTTCTAAAGATAATGAATTCTGCAGTTTTATAGATGAATTTGAATTCAAGTTTTCAGTCATTATGCTAAGCAAAACTTGGAACTCCAATGATGCTGATGTTAGGAATATTGATGGGTATAATGTGGTTCACATGAATAGAGAAAGATGGGGGCGGTGGTGGTATATGCATATATGTTGAAGCTAGTATCACCTATGAGTATGTTGATGATTGGTCTCAAAGCTGCAAAGATATTGAAGTGTTGTGCTTGAAATCTGAAAAAACTCTCATTACTGTTGTCTATAGACCACCTCACGGCAGCATCAATAATTTTTTGAACTTCCTAGATGAATATTTTAGGTTTCTAAATGAAAACAAATATACCTTAGTACTTGGAGGAGATCTGAACATTGACATGCTCATATCATCTAACAAACAAACCGAATTTTCCAACATGCTTCTTTCATACAGTCTCTCAAATGTTATAGCTATACCAACTCGCGTTACAGCCACTACTGCGACATTAATTGATTTATTTATAACAAACACTTGATATACTACATCATGGTACGATTAATGTTACGATTAGTGATTAGTGATTTCATTACTAATGTACAAACTAAACAAAATCACTCAGAAGAAAGGTATATATACTTTCAAGACATCAACCCACGGTCTCTTTCTTGCTTTCGTGAAGAAATAGGCTTGTTAAGTTGGAATAACATACCCTCTTGTTCTTCACCTGAAAAGGCTTATGATCACTTCATTGATACCTTGTGCTCAGTATATCATAAACATTTCCCTTATAAACTAGCAAAAAAACCAAAACAAGCTTGCAAACCAGGGATTTCTTTTAAGCTACTCCAATTGATAAAGAAAAAGAATGCTTTGTATCATTCATTCGTGTCAACTCGTGACCTTGACGTGTTGAAATAGTTTAAAACATTCCGTAATCACTTGACTAAGTTGCTTAAACAGGCAAAACATGAATATTATTATTTCATGTTTAATGGCATTGTGGATGCAAAAGAAATGTGGAATAAGCTGAATTCTGTCCTGTCACGATCACGGCCCACCTCTACTGCTAATGAGCTTAAGTAGGAAATGAGAGCCTTAAAAATGAAGCCCTAGCAAATAAATTTAACGAATATTTTCTATCATTGGCTGAAAGCACTCATGATCAAGATGCATCGACATATTTACCCAACCCCATCACACATTCATTGTATCTATTTGAAACTGATGATAATGAAGTCCTAAACATGTTCAAAAATTTCAGGCGAAGCAAAAGTGAGGATGTGAATGGGCTAAAGTCCGAACCAATCTTTCATGTTATCGACCTGATCATACCTTGCCTCACTCATATTTACAACTTGGCATTAACATCTGGCATTTCTCCACAACGAATGAAAGTTGCAAGGGTAACTGTGGTACACAAAAGTGGCGAAAGAGATAATTTAGGCAATTACCGACCAATATCAATTCTTCCTTGGTTTTTCAAGGTTTCGAAAAAATTATTCTCTTCAGAATGACCTCTTTTTTTGACAAGCATTCCGTAATAACATCATCACAACACTAGTTCAGATCAGGCTGTTCAACCGAAACTGCTCTTCTTTAGCAAAAAGAAATAATTTTGAGCAGTATTGGCGCTAAAAAACTAACTCTGGGAGTGTTTGTAGATTTCTCAAAAGCTTTTGATAGAATAAATCATGTAACCCAATTAGATAAATTAAATTGTTACGGCATATGCGGAATTACCCTAGATTTAATTAGAAGTTACATAACCGATAGAAAGCAATGTGTATCAATAAACAGAGATTACTCTTCGTTAAAACCAATTGAGCAGGGTGTGCCTCAGGGCAGCATACTAGGCCCACTTTTATTTGTTAAACCCGTATTTACTCGCGTAATCCTCGCACTCGCATAATTCTCGCACCTCCCACATCGCCCAAAAAAAAAATACGACTTTTTTTCTTCCTCGAGTAATTATCGCACCCCCGAAAACTGCAGCAATAATGTCGTCTGCTCGTTCCAGCCATTGATGATGATAGCGCGTACCATCTGGCGTCATCTCTTAAGCCAACGCCTCTTAAGCATCAAGCGTCCTACCGCACGGAGATTCAAGCCGAAGTAGCCAGTGCGCGTTGCGGCGTGTTTTGTATGTTGTGTCGGTAATCTTGGCACGTTATGGGGCGATACTGAAGCCACACGGCTGCTTCAAGTTGCAAGTGATTGATCATGCGCTAAACAATGGCAACAGGGCCGCCGGTAGGCCCTTCGGAGCCTACGAGTTTTGTGTTCGCTACTGATGACGGCACCTGAAAGCCACCAAGACGCCTTGGGCCTGCCGTGTGCCTTGAACTGGGATTGATGGTGAACTTTATTTCTTCAGAAGGAAACTGTGGACGATTCTGTTAAATAGCCATAAGCCCAATACTGACGTCCTACGCTTACCTTTTGAGGGCTCCTGTTGAGCGCCGACCGCTACCGCTACGCCCGCAACGCCCACAAGCTTCGCGTATGGTATTCTAATTCTCGACCATTTGCTTCCACTTTTTGTGTCTCAAATAAATCTTGCCTTGTGTTAAACCTCTGCTTTTATTGTTGAGGTAAGTTCTAATTAGTACTTCTTTAAGCTTGCTGTAAGTTGCTGGTGTAAGAATCCTGATTTGCGGCCACTTCGTTGTTTTTTTTTTTCGCTCTCTGCGTTTTCGTGGAAAGTTTTCCCCGCGAAATTCTCGCACCCCCCAACTTTAAATTGATTTTCTGGCAAAAAAAAAGTGCGAGGATTATGCGAGTAAATACTATATATATGAATGATATTGTGAATGTTGATTCAGCTAGCTACATTATCTACGTGGGTGACACCAGTTTTTTAGTTCCAGGAACTAAGTATGATGAACTTATACATCTGGCTAATGAAATATTAAGAAAAATAAATAATTGGTCGGTGAAAAACTCACTTCAGCTCAATTGCTCGTAGACAAAAGCAATACTCTTTAGAGCAAAATCTACGCGTTGCGATCACACAAAGTGTCTTACGCTAAATGACTCGACTCAAAGTAGTACTCTCTGCGTCGGCTAAAACATTGGGTGTCATCTTTCACGAACTGGCAACTTGGGACCACCATACTGATCACTTAATATATAAGCTTTGCAAGGCCTTAGGTATGCTGCGCAGATGCCAGAAACTTTTACCAATACAACAGAAACTCATGGTATATAATGCACTCCTTGCTTCACATCTGCGCTATTGTCACCTCGTTTGGTCAAACAGCACTAAACAATCATTAGAAAATTTAGTCACCCTACAGAAGCAAGCCCTATGGGCTATTGCTGATGTGTCTTATAATAAGCATACGCGTGACCTAAAAGAACTTGTTGTTGGGCTAGTTGGTAGAGCATTTCGAAAAGTTAATTCGAGCGCGAAAGCTTGACACGATCACTCGCACACGCACACACCCATGCATCAAACACACACAGCGCCCACTTCCAACTGATTTATTCATAGCTCGAAGGCTTGAATATATACAGGGCACATTTCGTTGTTGCCAAGCAAACTTCAGTTTATCGCTCTGAGGCTATGACATTGATTAACTGTACGTTTGATAATGTATGCTGTTGGCCATCTATCGTGTGTGTGTGCACAATGTGTCCTGTATATTATCAAGCCTTCGAGCTATGCATAAATCAGTTGGAAGTGGGCACTGTGTGTGTTTGATGCATGGGTGTGTGCGTGTGTGAGTGATCGTGTCAAGCTTTCACGCTCAAATTAACTTTCCGAAACACACGTGACCTATTTTTGAAGTTCAAAATTATCCGAGTTGACCACTTTTATGAGTATCAGCTTATAAGTTCTTTTAAACATAAAACGATTAAGGGCAGTACTCATACGAGGAACATCGCTAACTTGTCAATAAATCAATCATATCGCATAAACCGACACACCGAACATTGGGCAGTTCCGCGACCACGCATAAACTACGGTTTTCAAACACTTTCCTACCGCCTTTCTTCAATACTAAACAAATATAAATTTAGTGATGACAACATATGTCATATTTCCAAAAAGAGACTGCTTCAACTAATTTTATAAACACCAATGTTTGTTGTTTATGATTGCGTCTGTTGATAATATTTGTTTCATACTTTTTTGCTCTTCTCTTATCGCTTTGTTTTATGTATTTCTATTTTACTATTGTGACAAGTAAGAATGCTTGTTAATGTTTGCTGCTGCTGTTATTGTTCTGGGAGGTGGGACTAGTCAAGCTACCTACATGCAGCTTTTATCCCACCGTCCTTGTTGTTTAAACATGTTTTGATATATGTGGCAATAAAGTTCAGTTCACTTCACCTTTCTCTTTCCCATCCCTTAAGCGCTGAACCGTGGCTCACGGTGATAGGCAGAAAATCCAAAAAATAACATCCTTTTTATTTTTTTTCTTTCTTGAATCAACTTTACCCATGGGTCTGACAAGTTGTCTAACTACCTGGAAAAGTCAGGGAATTCGTACCCTTATGGAAGTCAGGGGATTTCCGAAAAATTTGGCCTCGTCAAGGAATGTGATGGCAGTCTGTGTGATCGTCACAAAAATAGACATTACCATTGATAAAAGCTTAAAAAGCTACTCCGTCAGCTGCAACTACAGTGAAAGCAAGAATATGTATGAAAAATAAAAATCAGTTCATAACTGTTGCTTCAAGAAGTGAATAAGCAAAAGGATACATCTACCAAAGGAATATTAAAGTTTGCTGTTGTTATGGCACTCACTATAGAAGCCTTATTCATAATAATAGCCATAAGAAAGGTATTTAAGTACGCCTAAGTACGTGACATAGGCACCGGGACTACATTTCCGAAAGCATCCCATCACTCGTGCTCAGCATATGTGCAGTTGTCTGTATGTGCTGGTATACCAGGTGCAGGCAGATGTAAGCTTTTCTTTGGGTAGAACACATGTGCATACCAGTAAGTTTGGTGGCCTGCAGATTTGACATGTTTAGCGAGGGCATACGAAGTCACACGTTGTTTTTCCAGCTGATGTGATACTCCTGTTGTTTAACTATTTTCTTGAAATCTGGTTTCGCCGATGTACTGGTTGTCACAATTGTGGCAGCCTAAAGTAAAAAAGATCGTGGAAATTTTTGCTTGGAAACTTGTTCTTCACTTTGTCTAAAGCGTTCCCTAGCCTCCATACTCGTACATACACTTTGTTAAGGTCTGTTGCTTCTGCATATCACACAGCATATCTAACGTTCCAACCACAACATTGCACATACTGGTAAATTTGTGCATGTTTGTCTTGACCATCATTTAGGCTCGAGTTATTGCTGGTAGCTCATGTTTGAAGGGTAGAGTAGGAAACTTCATATAAATTGCTCGTTTCAGTTTCTCGAGAAGGTACTATTAAATCTGCGATTAGTTTTTAGCATTATGTTCATAGTAGAGTACACAGACAAAGGTAATCTGCCCACATCTGTGATAAATCTGTAAAATCAAGGGAGCTGTAATGACCAGACAGATTCCTTCTTGCCACCACATATTAGAATGTCATCGCTTTAAACGCTAACCCTAGCTTTCATTGCAGGCATATGAGGACTTTGTCAAACTCTAAGCGTCAGAGCCAAGAGAAATAAAACATCAACATGCATGTGCTCGTCATAAAAAAAAGATAGAAAAAAAAAGAAAAGTATGTGGTCCGGCTCCATTCTTGAGATGTTGTTAGTCATTGTCAATGCATGGTGCACAGAATGCACCGTGCGTTTACAATAAGTAACAACGCCTCAAGAAATGCACCATGAGTTATTTTTTTAACTGAAAAGTATATATCAGAGGCGTACAAGTTAGGTCGGGATGCAAATCAATAGTAAATACAGCAATCCAGATCCCATCAGATCCAATTCAATCAGTAAATGCAGGTCAATTTATTCTAATCCAATCGATATCCTAAGTGGCCAGGACTGTAACCATTATAGTGATTGATTGATTTGTGGGGTTTAACATCCCAAAACCACCATATGATTATGAGAGATGCTGTAACCATTATAGTGATTTAGAATATACTCCAGTGGTAGAACCTGCCGGGCTCAGGCGTTCTTCTTTTACACAGATGTCATGAGATGGTGCCACTTCTACATGCCCCCACCAAAACAAAGCCTGGTGCAACAAAAAACTGTTTTGTGCCTGTAATTCAATTAGGAATGCACTGTGATAGGCAGGAGGAGTGGCTGCAGCAGGACAAAATTATATCCATCTTCTAGTCACTTCGACCTCGAATACGGGAACTTCTTTTGGAAGTGCTACTGTTTTTAGAAATTAATTGCACACAAAACATTGCAAAGTCTTTGTTTCGAGGTGGTATCCATGGTAGAGGTCATGAAGTAATGCTTGCCACACCCCAAAAATATGGTGTGCTGCACTGGCCTTGAGAAACAGCTGAGGCTGACACTTCCTCTGCAGTTCTGCCATCAATGATGTCATGCGCTTCACCACATGAGTCATTCTTCGTTTCAGAAAAAACAATCGTCGCCCTTCTTATGTCGCCGACCAGCGGCGCACCTTCGTTTGGCTTGAAAAAAAATCACAGCATATCCACGAAGTAAATAATGATGAGTGGGGCGAAGCATTCGTCCGTCCATCTGTCCGTTCGTTCCTGCATGCGTCCGATCCTGTTCGAGAATGCAAACGGCGCACGGGTAACACCGACGAGACGCGAGCCAAGGAAGCCGAGGGCAAACATCTTCAACGCGCCCACCGCTCTGCTTCGTCCATGCCCCACTAACGATCCGCCACGTACGGCAACTATCCAGGAAACTGAGAGGCACTCATTCTCCACATACCCAGGCTGGCACAGCCCACACAACAGCCAAGCGGAGAGTAACAGTACAGCGCCATCTAGAATATTCACACTCAACTGCAGTTGGTAAGTAGTTCTATGAGACAGCGCCATCTATTATACTGTTCGGGAGATATACTGTCTTTTTTTGTTCTCGTCTCTTTTTCTGTCAGTTACACATGACGCATGACAAGGTTAAGCTAAGAGGAGCTTCACCCCTAAAAAAAGAGAACAAACATTGTTCGTTCTCCCTTCAGAGACACACATACCTCAGGTCATCTTCGACAAAAAAAAATAATGACATACATGTGTGCACTTTTCTTTCTCATTTAAATTATAATTACTTCTAATAACATATGCCCTATAATTTCCTTGGCATCACTAGTTCATAGTTAATTCTCATTATTATTGTGTCTAACAAAGAAAACGAGCCCTTAAGATTACACTTCTTTCCTCCGTGCCCTGCATAGCATCCCGATACAAATGATGCATACTGGGCGACAAATACATTTTGTTAATGTATCTTGATACAGAAATACAGATACTGAAAAGTAAATCTGAAATACTATCGTGATATTCTTACTGCCTAACCCTGCAGCCAACTTCATTAGGATGCGATGTGACATAATTCTGCAAAAAGCTGGCATAAGATATGGGCCGCTGCAGTGAGTGAGGCGGTATTCCCACTGGCTATGTCTTAAATGCGAACAGCACAGAGCGTAGGAGTGAGCTGTCTGCTGATCTTAGTCAAGATGGCGCCTCTAAGATCCCTAGATATTTTCTCTTCTTCCTTAAGTAGCGACAATCATTCAAGTTCACCGCCGCCAAATCTCATTGTGTACCGGTTGTTTTCAGTAGCATTTTCTTCCAAACATTTTTCCAGCGACTGGCAGCAGGCTCTGCTTTCTGCTCTCTGCACTACCCAAGATATTCTAGTGTACTGTACTGTTGTTGCTTGCATTCGGTACATTTTGTTCGGAAGGCTGCCGGATTCCCTGTGCGCAGTTGCTGCTTGCGCTTCATCACCCGGGCCTGTTTTTGTGCCGTGACTGCTGCATCGGCCTTGTCTTCCTGTTTGGGCATTAGTGTGAGCTGTGCCCTCCCCATGTGAAAGTTGTAAGTTGAACCTTCCTGCGACGCTGAACTCTTCACGCGCCCTTGAGCCCGTCACGCGATGTTTGTTTATATTCCATCTTTTCTTGTTGACCTGCTTGATGGCTTCCCTTGGTTGAGAGGTGATGCGCATGGGCTGGGCGGGGGGAATTACCTCCTTTTCTATTAAGACGATTGTTTTTCTTGGGATACGTACTTCAATGCAGAACGTTTAGTCTTTCTGTCACTCGAAACGATTCAGCCACTCTGCAAATGTTCAAGCACTTTCTCAAAGCCCAGCCATCTTGGTCTGGTAGCTGCATTCATACTTGTGAACACTGTCAATATAAATATCAAATATCATGCTTATCTAAGGTGCAACATCAATACGTAAGTATTAGGTGTGTGTTTCTTTATAGAAAATGCATAGATGCGTAATTCAAAAGACCCTAGTGTTTCTTACACTGTTCTGACAATGCAAAGCTATGCACGAAAAACAGTTGTTTTCTACGCTTCGCTAAGATAATACCGTGCTGCCACCTACCAGTGGCTGTGCATTCTACATAAGCGTCTGTTTCCCAAGATTACTGCCCAATAGCTATCGAGCAGCAGCACCTCCAGAAAGAAGACATCTTTAGATGTCTTTTGACGACATTTGTGGCGAAGCACGCAGATACATGACCAACTTTTATCTCTTTTCCTTCTTTCCTACTTCCTCTTTCTGTCACTCCCAATCTCTCTGCAGCGCTGTTGAGGTGACCTCCTCTGAGAGATGGTGCTACACTTTTTTCATTTTTCTCTCTTTAAAAGCAACTCTATTGAAACTGCTGCACACAGGTTCGGTGACGTTGCTCCCAATGGCTCACACACTTGGGTGCAACGTAGAAAATGAAGCAACTAAAGGAGCAACCAATGAAGACGCTTAGTGTTTCTCGTGGCAAATGGTTTTTCATTTTTCCTAGCCATATAGCTATCACTGTAAAAAAGGTGGTTAATCGCAATTGAATAAAATCAACGACATATTGTTTGCCGTCATGTGGTGCTCATTAGGGTATACATTTAGAGTAACATATACATTATGTTGGGTTAAATTATATAATTAACTTAAATAAATTATGCAAAATGTTTGTACTCACTATGCAGGGCCTAGTACATTTAGTTACAATGTAGAGGACATTCCAAAAGGATATATCTAATTTCTTTTGCGCGTGTGACAGCGTACATGCTGCATGGTGATGTTTCATGCATTCAAAGAAAGCCGGCGAAATATGAAATAAAACCCATGTGACTGGAGCAAAAGGGAGAGTTTGGCCAGTTGGTTCGGGTTCATAGCACTCAGGTGCTAGGTGCGCACTACTGCATTGCAGTGCTCTCAATCGTTCTTCGAGCGAAATAGCCTTCTATTTCACTGTACCATCCTTAAAAAATGCAGATGCGATGTGAAGTCGATGGCTGGAGCCACGGCTGCTCATTCGACTATAGTCCAGCCGACTATCAAAGCTTTAGCAGAAAGAAAACACGCTGGCGGTCTCTCATCACGTGAAAGGCATATTGGGGGTCCCGAAAGGGCTGAAGAAGAGGGGGGTGGGCTGCTTTATTTCGGCAGGATTCGCAAACCTTCACCGATAAACAACATGAAGTTTGCT